TTGCAAAAGACTTTCTTTTAATATTTTTATATACCCTGATCATTTTCTAAATGGAAAACGTGGACTATATAGGTAGAGTTTGATAGGTTGCAATTAACGCCATTTTTTTCCAAAGATGACAATTTCGCCATTCACTCATGCGGGCCCGGCTATGCTTTTCATTGAGAAGCATACTTACTTGACATTTTCATGCTTTGTAAAAATAAATGTTAATATTATTAGTATAATTATTATTTTTTTTATTTTGATTGCATAATAAGAAGTAATTATCTCTTACTTTTTATCTTACTTCACCTGCATATCACGTGATTCGAATTTAGCTCTTATTTTCAGTAAAAAGAGATGACCATTAAATTATTTAAGTTGTTGACAGTATAATTACTATTTTAAAAAGAAATAAAAGAGGGCAATTGTAGTTCCTATGAGTACTAGAAGGAGAAAGGGAGGGGCTACCTTCTGGCTTCAACCCGCAGGTGTTCCCCGCTAAGGCAAGTGGCCTATGCTACTTGTCCTAAAACATGGGGAACATGTTACAATAGCGTTTATACGAAAAAAATACCTTATCAAAATACATTACATGTGCTTATAAATGAGGTTGTTGTTTTGTGCAAATTATATATTTTATAACAATTAATAAAAAGTGATATGGTAAATTGTATATTTTATAAATATTAATAAAAAAAAACCATTTCAATATCAGACTTATCCTTCATTAATTAGTATCATATGTGTAAAATAGATTGCACATCACTTTTTATTAATAAAAATTCATGCATTTACAAAATGATTTAAAAAATTTTATTTACACAATCGACACATGAAATCTTTACTGAGTGAAATGCCAGCCTCATTGTGACAATTATTTTGAAAATCATTAAAATATACAAGGCTTTGTATATTTTAAAAGTTACAAATACTAGTTTTGTGTTTTATTTGTAAAACTTTTAAAATGCCTATGAACTTTCCTATAAAGGGTGATAGTTTCCTTCCATGCCAAACATTCCCCTGATGTGCACAAACATTTTTTAAGTTCTGCTTGAATTTCTCTAACTCAAGACTTGTGAAAAATTCAGATGATTATGATTTTCTTCCCATGTTTTTTCTTTTGTGGAAATATTCATCCAAGAAAGGGGTTGCACTCTTGTCTTGAGAGACTGAAATAGGAACTTTAATGAGGAATGTGCATGCTATGCTGCTTTACTCCTGAATTGTAAAAAAGTCGATGATCTTTTCCATGACATCTGATCTTGTTTCAGGCCACTAATAATGGGGTGTTTTGATTAAAAAATAGTTGTTATAGTGGAGGTGGATGGTGCACTGTTGTTCAAATGTCATTTGATGAAATTGAGGAATCTTCAATTTCCAATGAACCCTTTTTTTTCTTCCTAAAAATATGTTGAGTATGGAAAATTTTTCTGTGGTGAGAGCATTAATTGTTTGTTTTTAACTGATGGAAGACTAACAAGAAAACTGCCTCTCCCATGTGGATATGCATTGCTCTTGACTGTTGTTTTCTAAACTCTATGTGAGGTCACATTTTGGGTAAATGGTAGGGTTGAGGACACCAATGTTTTTGTTATGATTATGAACTTAATATGTAATTTTATTAGTTTATAATTTTTTTTAAAAAAATATAATATTTAAAAATATATATTTATAAATTGATTTCAATTTGTTAAATAATAAATATTAATATTTATAAGTTATTAGTTGTTTTTATCTATCAAATTAAGATTATAAATTTGATAATATCAGTGGCCTTAACAAAATTAATAGCAGTCATAACCATAGCCAAATGTTAGCTCTTAATCTGAATATCATGAAGGGAGAAGAGGGTAGAAATGTTACTTCACTATGAAAAAACAAAAAACCTTTTTGATTCTCAAGAGGAAAAAAAAACCACTATGTTGTGTGTATTTGGACATTTGTACACAAACTGGTAACTGTGAAAACAGCAGCACCTTTTTTTGCTCAGCAGCAGCATTGTGTTTATATTAGAAAACGACGAAGGTAGCTTTCAAATAGGGCCTGCGAAAGTGTTTGTTGTAGAAATGAAAAAATCTTGACATGTGCTTCGAAGCTACCGTATTGCAAGTCCATACAGATTGCAGGGTGCAGAAAGCCCCTAGTGGTCCGAAGGAGACTTTCTCATTCATTGTGACATCACACATCCTTCTGATGCTTTTGTAAGGTCAGAAAATGATGAATTAATTGGGGTCCTCTCAAGGGAAAGGGATAAAAGGCCGTGAGGATGATCATGAATTTAGTGATTTAACTAAAACATTTTTGTGTTGTATCTTTGGTCCACTTAATGCAGGCATCCCAAACATGTCTCAATCTTGAGTTTGTGGGTAATTGATTATACACCTGATCCTGGATTTTGACCCATGAATGCTTAAAAAAGGAAAAATGAAAAAGGTGGGGTTCAAGGAATTTTTTTGCTTTCATGGAAGAATTTGTTCAACCCCATGACCATAACTCGAGAATATTTTACTCTCATGTATATATGAGGATGGAAACAAAGGAAACCTGAAAGACCCAATCAAGCCGGTGCAAGAGTGAGTTTTTAAGAGTGTTTTTTTGGAACTTGTGTAGTTCTGGAGGTTGGGGGAAAGGGACATAAAGGGAGGGGTAGGATTTGAAACCCATACCATGGGTGCCATCCACAAGGAGCAAACTGACTATAATAACCTGCAAGTGTGAGATAGGGGTGAAGGTTGTCCAAGTTTGCCTTGGTATAAATCCTCCCATGGTTAAGTCATATGAGAGTAAAGATGCATAGCAAGTGTATTTGTGTGGAGAGAGGGAGAAAGCACAACTTCCATTACTCAAACCAGTTACAAACAGGCCACAAAGATGACAGTTGACAGTTGACAAATAAACTGGTTTCAATGATTAGCTTGGAAGAAACATAAGTTTTTCAGATATAAAAGCAGCACAGGAAGAACTTAAGATGATTTGGTGTAGATACGGATGCCAACAGCAAGACCTAAGATAGCAAGGGGAACTAGGAATTGGAGGAGCTTGATGATGAACTCTGATGTTTTGTCCTGATTGTAATGCGGTTGTTTTGGAGGCGTATATGCTTTCTTCTTGGGGATAGTTGACACATCAATCTCTCCAACATGGTACTCCGCCATCATTTCTCTAGCACTAGTGCTATGACCAACATCCTCAAAATCGTCAGTTGCATCCTTCCCTGCAGAAAATAGAGACCAGATGCCAATTGGAGTTACTAGTGGTTACCAGTGGTATTTTAACTCAGACTAAAACAAATAGAAAGACATATCCTTAACTGAAAGAAAAACAAAACAAGTTCTGAGTTTTATACCAGTTGCTGACAATAAAACTTCATCACCACCAGGATGGTCTTCCAAGAAATTTGTCACATCATAAACCTGTCTCAAAAATTTTAGACGGACACTGAGATAAAGTAAACAATATAAAAATTTGGATTAGTATTAACCTACAACAGCTGAAAACATTTTATCACAAACCAAATACTTATAATTTGAAAATTCAGAAAATATTTTAGAATGAGATTGTCATACTGGTTTACCATTATTTTAACCACAGCATGTAATAAGTTGAACTTTGATCTTTTCTAAGATCTGTTATTCCTTGTCACACTTATGATCTAGTAATTGAATGTGCACAGTCTTTTTATTTAATTAAGAACATAACTGAAGATCAATGAATTTAGTAGGACATTGGAGCATTAGTGACTAGAAAACTTGAGTCTCATGCCAAAACCAATCTCTTTCTTTACTTTTAAGCCCAAAAGGAGTAAAAACTCTAAAACAACAAATACTTTGGTGGCTGGTACTACTTGGAAGTTGCAGCTAAAATAATAGAAACTCAAAACAGATGGAAAATAGTTCTTCAGAGAAACTAACTGACTAAAATAACAGGCATGCAGTTGCAGCAAAAATGAAGAAAATCCTGCCGTTGAATATGTTGATTTTGCAAGAGCTTATGTACTTGAATGAATATAGGATTGTCACCGGAAATTTTGAAACAGTTAACTCAATTGTACACATGATTATCTAATGCACCTGAATCTATTTAGTGTAAATTAGTCCCCTTTGGAAACATTCTCAATAATATAGTAGAGAATGGGCAAAGCTGAGGATGGAACTTCATCCTTCCATTCTTATCCTCAATAAAAAATAGGCAAAAACTGAAACTAATTGATTTCTATATAAGCCTGCATTTTATATGAGCATCAAAATCTTGAACTCAAAAATGAGTTCTTCCTTTGGATGATTGACATATTTCATAAAAGAATACCAGAATTATGTATTGAATAGATACAATTTCACATCTCATGTTATTCAGAAGATGCATAGGTCTAATTTCAAAGTTCTAAATTTCTATTTTGGCTGTGCTAGTGGTTATTCACACATGTGAAAGGTTGAAATCTACATCAAAATGCAATAGGACAAATTATATAAATATAATAACTACTATCATATAAGTAAGTATCAACATATATAGTTGTGTGAATTTGATAAACATGTTTTTCCCTTCATCCCGGCAAAAGATGTCAATTCACATGGCTTGAGAGACTTAACCAAAGGGAACAAAAGCAAGCAAAAACAAAGATTTTGATTACATCCAACCAGTTCTATCACAATTAATACAGGAGCAGGATATTGGATCAGAAAACACAGCCACTATGAAACAACCAAAAGCCAAATCAAACACGGTTATGGCTTCAATGACATCCACATCCAAAGGACTTAAATGAGAAAGTACAAACTAAAACCGTCAAGGACAAATTCGATCAAGATATCAATAAATCAGCCATATACAAAGACTTCAACCCTCGCGTAGGGAAATATATTAAGCCATGAAACCACAACATGGCAAGCCAAAAATAGAAACCCAAATGAAAAAAATGCAAAAAAGGATAGGTACATTGAAAAAAAATATAACCTTGCCATCAATGATGAGCCAACAGTCTTTGAGGGTGTTGTGCTCGGAGACTTGAGCCAAAGTAAAGACCTTTCCATCACCACCCATTTGGTTGTTTCTCAATTATTACAAGTTAGAGAACAGGGAGACGAGTGTACCAGATCAAGGAAGAGGGTAAAGAAAAGTGAGGGATGAGAAGATGGGTGGCGTTTTAAATTGGAAAAAGAGACGAGTCAATCTGTGGGCTAACAAACCTAGAGGCTGTGTCCCTGATTGCTAACTGAAGAGGTTGAGAAGATTGGTACTAAATTAGTAGAGAAAGGGAGATGCAGTTTTGAATTGAATTTGGGTTGTTGGCAAGTGAAGATTTTTTTTTATGTTTCTTGATGGGGCTGGTGAGATTATTATTATTTTTTCTATGGGGCAGGTGAAGATTATTTTAATTTTTGTTGAAGTTGAATACTAAGTTACTAACGGTGTGCACCTGGCGCTTGAGAGCTAGTGGTAGTGGCCACTTCAGTGCATTCTCCCTTTTTCTTTGGTTTGGGTTAGAAACTCACCCCTTAAAAATATGTTCAAAAAAAAAAAAAGTTACTAACGGTGTATCCATTTTACGTCCTCCAACAAAAAGGAACAAAGTTCTACAATCGAGACATCTCACTAGTATTTTTATTTCAGGCTGTACATAGTGTCAGTGGTGCATTTAGACTATATATCACTGCAAATACTAATTAGCCGTTAGGAGTATCATTTTTTTTTTTTTTAAAACAGTTTTGTCATGGTGCGAGTTTCGTGGAAGAAGATATGCACTTTTCAGTGGCTCTAGTTATTGAGCCACACAAGGCAAGTGCGTTAGGTGTATCATTTAATAGTTAGAATTTTGTAATTTATTATTAGATTGTAAAAATATATTTTTAATATTTTTATACCCTGATATCATTTTATAAATGAAAAACGTGGACTATACATAGAGAGGTTGATAGGTTGGGATTGACGCCAATTTTATTTTATTTTTTGGTTTTGGTTGCGCAATGAGTAGAAGTAATTATTTATTATTTTTTATTTCACTTCATTTATGTATTATATTATTTAAATTTATAATTTTTTATTTTTAATAAAATAATATAACCACTAAATTATTAATTATTTAAGCAATTGATATTAACGTCATTTTTTTTATAAAGAGGGCAATTACGATTCTTATATGTACCAGCAGAATGTCGATCGGAGGGGCTACCTTCATATTTCAACTCTCAGGTGTCTCCCATGAGAGTTGACGAAAAACAATGGTTAGCCTATGTAACTTATTAATTACGAAAGTATTAACTCCTCAATTTATAATATAAAAGTTTTAATTTTTTAATTTTTTAATGTAAATGAAAAAACCCAAAATGAATAATGATGTTGTGTGTTCATTACAACTACGTTATTTATTGCCATGTATTGCCATGTTAGCACCAATGTGGTAATCCCTTGCCAATCATGACTACTACCATGTCATAGACATAGTTTTTTACTTATTGTTAGATCTAGTAAAATTGGATTTAATAAGAAAATTTGACTCAACTCATTCACTATGAGTAGAGTTATTAGTTTAAGCTTCTAAAATATAATTAGACTAACATTATCCAAACCAGATTGAGTTGGATCAGAATTGAACCAAGTCAATTCGAAATAATCTAATTAAAATTAATTAATTTTTTTAAATTTAAAATTTTGATTAATTATATTTTTAATTTTAATTTTTAAATATAAAATAAAATAAAATACTATAAAATAATTATTATTTATTAAATTATTAGTGTTAATATTAATTTAGTAGATTTTTATTAAATAATTAAATCAAAATTAAAATTTTTTAAAGAAAAATAGAGAAAATATTAAAAATTTTTAATTTTAATTTTAATTTTTTAAAAATTAAGTCTAATTGACCCAATTCAAGATTTGTGTGGATGAGTCATTGGTTTACTCTTTTAACCCAAAATTTAAAAGGATCAAACTTGATAAATATAAAATTTGATATGACTTGATCTGAATTCATCTAATTTAACTTGTTTATCAAATCTAATTTTTATTGTTTACAATAGTAATCCATGATGATAAGAAATTGCCACATTAGTGCTGACATGGTAATGGATAATGGATATTTAACGAGTACATGGCATTACCATCTATTTTGAATTTTTTAATTTAGGATGAAAAGATAAAAAATTTAAATTTTCATATTGTAAGTTAAAAGGGTTGACATTTTCATAATTAGTTAGGGTAAGGGCTGGGCATAGGTTTTCACTGCTAAGAGTCTAAGACAAGTGGCCTATGCCACTTATCCTAAAACGTGGGGAAGACGTGGGGAACAAGTTGCAATTGTAAACATTGTCTTCTATAGCTTACAAGTAATCATTGTGTTTATACAAAAGTAATCAAAATATACTAAGGAGGTTGTGATTTTTGTGTGAATTGTATATTTTATATTTATTGATAAAAGGTAATTTGATAAATTATATGTTTTATAATTATTGATAAAAAAAAAATCATCTTAATATTAAAAACTCATTTCTCATTAATAATTATAAAATATGCACTCTATGCCTAACAAACTACATATCACTTTTTGGTTTAGAAAGATCCATGTATATACAAAATGACCTAAAAAAAAAAAGCTATTTACAAAATAGACATCTGAAATCTGATTGAGTGAAATGCCAGCCTTATTGTGACGCTTATTTTGAAAATCACGAAAATATAAGGCTTTAACTTGCTTCTTCTGTATACAAAATTCATAATAAAGCTCTAACGCCTTTGGAAATTAAACACCTTCATGGACATAGCAAAGATGGCTGCAAAGAGTACTGTGAACCCCAAAACCACAGCTGCCACTACTCCAAGAAAATCATGTCTAAATCCAAAGTAACTCTTCAGGAATTCTTCAACAGTTTCGCCTGATTCCATTTGGTTCTTCAAATCTCCAAATTGTGATACCACCAATCCATATAGGGTCCAAGACACTGGACATAGCCAATAGTACCATCTCCACCATATAGGAATCCTCTGTTATGTCAAACATAAGTTATATCAATACAACTACATGTAAAGGGAATTTTAAAAAAATAAACAGAATTGAAAAGCCTGCACTCACAGGACGAGGAACTACGAATCCAGAAAAGAGGTTCCATATTCCATAGAAGGCAGAGGATACAATGGCAGCGATATGGTGGTTTGGAGTCACAGCCACTGCCATCATCCCATAGTAGGTGAAGTACAGTAACGTGAAGTACATGAAGAATAGGTACCAAAAGAACTTGGTAGGAGTCCACTCGAATCCAATCATTGCATAAACTATGACACCATAAACAACTGCTTGAGCAAAAACATATGGGAGCTCAATTAAGACCTGTGCAATAGCATATGACTTTTCTGAGTACATTCTAGCAGCTCTTTCTCTGTAAAATACTGTCCTTTCAATGGCCACAACTGGCTGCACGGATGAAGCATTCTGGACGCCAATGAAGAGAACAGCTGCGTACATGGAACCCATTGCGTTGAACAAATCTTGTTGCTTTGTCCTGCTTTTTGCCATGTATGATATATTAGACAAAGCATTGATACAAACAAATTTTGTGGTAGTGGTTGTTAACTTACTTTTTGGATCCAAGGTCCCAGAACATTGTCCCAAACATCAAAGCTATAATGGTTGTGAAAAGAAACCTCACGGCAGTGTATAGCGGGTTACGCCAGTATGACCAGTGTTGCTTCCATAAGCAAGCTACAAATTGAGTCAGGAATGACTGAGAGTACTTTGTAGGAAAATAAAGTTCTTTTGAACCAGGAGCCGGTGTGCTCAAGTCTTTGATGAGTTCTTTGTTTGTCCTGAAATTTATAGCCACATTAGTTATAAATTTGAGCAAGAAACTAACTGAAAATGGAGACAAATAGATTATCCAAATTTTTCACTTGTATAGCTCTGAGTTCTTGTAGACTTCAGCAAAATTAATTCCCAAATCTAATTCCAGTGCTGCAGTGGTAACTTCTAGCATCCAAGTTGCAGGATTATATCCATCTTTGATTTTGTTGACTCCTTGAATTCCCTAAAAAGTAATAAAATTATTACATTAAAGTAAACTCTAAATGAGAATGAATTTTATAGCTGGAATTGTTCAGTTCTTCATACCTCAAAGTACTCGATGAGATAGGAAGATTGGTGACCTAATGGGCCTACATATATTTCTTGTCCTCCCATTTTCAATAGAAACAACTGCAATGCAAAATAGTTCAGTATGTTGTGTTTATACATGAAGAAATAGGAAAAAAAAGGTAACCCTTTTGAGCTATTAGGTTTCTTGCCTCATCAAATGCTTCAAATATGTCAATGCTTGGTTGATGGATGGTGCACACAACTGTTCTTCCAGTATCCACTGTGTTCCTAACTGTTCTCATAACAATAGCTGCAGCTCTTGCATCAAGTCCAGAAGTAGGCTCATCCATGAATATTATAGAAGGGTTTGCCACTAGCTCAACTGCAATGGTTAGTCTCTTGCGCTGCTCAGTGGACAAACCGTTTACGTCTGGCAATCCTACCAGTGCTTCACGTAATGGATTCAGTTCAACAAGTTCAATCACTTCCTCAATGAAAATCTACCACATTATTTTAAAATACCAAAATTAACCAAGAAGAAAACAAAATTGCAAAGCCTAAAACAAATTGAGGCTACAGGTGCCAACCTTTCTAGTTTCAGCATTAACTTCAGGAGGCAATCGAAGCCAAGCTGAATAGAGCAAGGACTCGTAGACAGTAACATGAGGAGAGTGAATATCATTTTGCTCACAGTATCCAGCTATTCGAGCAAACGTTTCTTGCTTTTTGGGGTAGCCTGAAACTGTTATGTTCCCATAAATGTAGCCACCAGTTTTCCTACCAGCCAGTACATCCATTAGAGTAGTTTTACCAGCACCACTGACACCCATTAGAGCTGTGAGAACTCTGGGTCTAAATGAACCACTAACACCATTCAACAGGACTAACTTATCTTCACCAACACCTTGCTCTTTCATTTCCTGAAATAGTCAATTCAAGCAAATATACCCTCAAGAATTAGAACATAGCTTAAATTTTCAGTGTAAGTAGTGTTTTTTGAAAATTGTTACCTGTGGCATGTCAACAGAATAGGTAATGTCATCAAAGGTGATTGAATGTGGCTCGAATGGAAGAACCATTCCCTTTTTCTTGTTACTAATGACCTCAAAAGCTGCCAATGACACAGATGTGGACTTGGATGATGAGTTTCTTCCTGTAATTTGAACTTCACTAGTTTCAGTTTTCTTACTGGTGCTATTTTCATATGTAGATAAATGGATAGCTCCCCCAGTTTCAACAGCTTGTTCATTACTTTGTGGTTCATCTGGTATAATAGCTTGAGGCTTCCCAAATGCTGTGAAAAATGGTAATAATACATAAGTTCTTACTGCTACGACGTACACATATAAGAAGGTGAAGATACTCACGATTGAGATAAGTAAGAGCCAAAGTGAAACACAGGTTGAATAATATTGTGAATCCAAGCAATGCCCCGAACCCTAACCAATACCAATATGGATCAGTGAAAAATCCACGAGACTTCAAAACTTTGATTCCAAGAACTTCTGTTGAGTTTGAAAGAACCTATCATACAAAGGAAAATTCAAATATCAGCTGAATATTAATAAAGAAAAAAAGAAAAGAAGAAAAAAAAAGAAGAAAAAGAAAACAAAAACAAAACTTTGCACATGGCTAATTCAAATTAATATTTTTACACGTCTCCAACTCTTTCCAAGGAACTCATTGACCATTATTGCATTCTGTCCATACATCAAAGGTGAAATCCAGTAACCCCATATCCACCATTTCTTGATTTGTTCTGTGATGTTAAACATTTGGAAAGATGTTAGAGTTATTTTGCAGTTTGATGTTGATTAAAGAAAGAGATTCTTTGCATTCTATCCACACATCAAAGTTATTCTCCAAGACTATCATACCTCGCGACAGGACAAAACCACCCAAAGCAAACAGTGTTACTAGGGCAAATGTCCCAAATGTATTAGCAACAACCATGTTTCTACCAGTTGCTGCAAGGAAACGGAATAATCCAGAGGACATCTGATTAAAAACCACGAGAAGAAGGTACTGCCTAAACAACCTGTAGGACAAGAGACAAATTACTTTGAGATTAGTTGCATCAGAACATACGAGCAAAGGACTATACCATGTATAATTAACTTTCTTATTTTCTTTTACCTTCCGACATTAGAATCAAAGCCAATGACATAATAGGTGATGAATACCCAAAAGGCAACCTCTACAAGTGAAATAGGGATCTTAAGTATCCAAGTTGGTAGAGCAAATGCCCACGAAGGATAGAATAACAGGTCTCTTTGCTTGTAAAACACAGGAAGCTTAGCAATGGTCATAGACAACTCTGCCAATGCATTAAACAAGTTCGCAATCAGACCAAAGAACAAGGCACCAGTGTAAATTACTCCACCTAATTCTGTATCTTTGTTCATCTTAGTTCGTTGGAAAAGTGTCATAGTAGTGAAAGCCATGACCAACAGCTGGTAGGACAGGAGAGGCAAAATTCATATCATAATCACATAACACAATGAGAAAAAGAATTCAATTTTGTGACATCATTGATACCCACTTGGATTAGCTTGAAGATGTAGACAAATGAGTTTCGCCTCATCAGAAGGAATTCTCTTGAGAAGCAAGCCTTCAACAACTCTTTCCTGCTAACACCATATTTTCTTGTTGTCAAAGCAGCCGGGTGACTCTTGGTCTTGTCAAATGGGGTTGCAAGCTCATCCACAAGTCTCACTCCCACCTCAAATGACTGGAATGCATCAGCAAATTGCTTTGCGGTGACAAACCTATAAGGATCGTCTCTTCCTATCCAATATTGCATTTGATCTTTCTTTGATGTCATCTACAACAATGAATTGAATTTACTTAAAAGTATAAAAACATCAACACTATCCCCCATTTATAATAACATAAGCAATATCAAGACATACTTCTTGTAAAAAGTCTGCCACGCCTTTTCTTTCAGGGCACTTGAAGCCCATGGATTCAAAAAAAGGCAAAACCTGATCACAAGGACCTTGGTATACAATATGTCCATCAGAAAGGAGGATAATGTCATCAAAAAGACTGTAAGTCTCTGGCGTTGGCTGGAGAAGAGAGATGACTGCAGTTCCTTTAAGAATGTGAACATAATGCTTGAGAGAGTTCACAACGTGGAAAGTTGTTGAACTATCCAAACCAGTAGATATCTCGTCCATAAACAGTGCCTTTGTTGGTCCAACCAGCATTTCCCCTATCATGCAGACACAATTCCATTAAGAAAAGAAAATAAAATTTAATCCTTGAAAATAAAAAGGATTACTTTATGTTGAAGTATGTATTCCTTTGTGAGTGAGAAAGAACAAGAGTCCCACCTCAAAAAAATAAGAGTGTGAAGGGTGGCTTAAACATGTCAAGACTCATATAACTATTATATTAGTCTTTTGGCTATAATATAGTATCAAAATATGTGATATATCACCGAATCTCTCCCCATGTGAAGAGACCCATGTAACTAGTCACAAATGTCTCCTCAATGCTCTGGTTGTTCAATTACCAGTGGTTACACGTTTCTTTTGTCCTCCGGAGATGCCTCTAACCATTTCATCCCCCACCATTGTATCTGCACATACTTCTAGTCCTAAAACCTGCAAATTTTGTGGAAAAAGGATATCACATTGTTGTTTTAATGGTTTTAATTTCAATCTTACAAAATTCCAGAAAAATTCGAGAGCTTCCCTTAATGCTACCTTTAGAATATAGTCTGTCATTACATTGGTTTCTTGCCCTTCAATGGCCGCTGCCTGTAATTTTAGAAATCAAGTGAAACAAGCAGATCATAATGAAATATTGTTAGGCCTTCATGAACCCAGAAATGAGGAATTATGGTTTCTAACCTTCATGAAGATATCCATGTCGGGATCAGGCATTATACTTGCGGCTTTCTCTCTTCTTGAGAGCTCAACTAACATGTCTATAAGAAACCAAAAGTAAACTTTTTCGTGCTTAATCATGGAGATTTTATTTGAAAAAAATGAAATAAACTAACCATAACGGGTTCCAACCCCTTGGCATCTTGCAGAAAAGGCTAGTGTTTCCCTCACAGTCATTTCCCCTATGTGGACATCATGTTGACTGATGTACGCAGCAGTTCTCTGAGGCACAAAGTCATCCATGCCATGGCCGTTGTACGTCACTCTTCCGCAACACTGCAGGAAAATCTTGTTCCTTGAGTTCCAACTTTCCAACCAATAGCAAAGAATGAATTTTGAATTTTGAATTTTTTTCTCTGGCATATGATGATGGCCTATACAAATAGGATATGGGAGTATAGTTTATCTTCTTCCCAAAACTCTATTTGCCCGTTCTAGACTTCTAATATATAGACTAAGTTCTTGCCCATTGGGACATCCCTAACTAAAACAGCAGAAAGAAATGGAAAGTACCCAATATCCCACATGTGAAAATTTTTATAAAGTTCATGACTGGTCCTCTTTTGCCTTAAATATAACTCTCACCTTGAGATTAGGATCAAGCCTCCCAGCTAAAGCTAGCAGGAGAGTTGTCTTTCCAGAACTTGGAGGAGCCAAAAGCAATGTCATTCTGCAACAGATATAGAAGAAACGAAAATTTTAATTTCAAAGGTTTTGATTCTATGTTCAAAATTCATCTGTAATAACTTGGCATACTAATCATTTTTTTGCGAAGAAAATAAAATGTCTTCGTTACCTTCCTGGTTTAATAATCCCACTGACATCTTTGAGGATGGTCAAGTGTTTCTTTCTACTTGGAAGAACATGGAGATAATTCAAGAAACCCTGTATGTGACATTAAAGAGTGAGAACAAATTGTAAATATTAGAAAGAGAACATAAACGATGATTTGTATGTTTTATTAATGGTGATACCTCTAGCATGTTCGTGGTGAAATTAATCAATGTTGGCAGTGCTCTACTTCCCACGTAAGCTTCTGCTTCAACAGTCAGGTTCTCAAATCTTACTTCAATGGTGGGAAGATCAATTCCGACCCTAGATGATAGTAACATTGAATATTTTCATGAGAACAAAAATTTTAGCAAAACGAAATAGAATTTCTTCTTTTCTTTTCAACAAGACACGAAGCCTTCTTAATTTTTAAAAAGATCTCAATTGCAAACGTTACAGCTTCCATCTTGCTAATCTTTCATACAATACTTTATTTAAAAATATAAATTTATTATTTTTAATTAATTTTTTAATATATATTTATGCAATATAACACAAAACTGTTAAATAAAATAGTATTAATTAAAAAAAATGCTTTTAATTTTTATAAAAGTGGTTTTTAACTTTTAAAAATCAAAAGTTTTATAAAGTAGAGGTTTAAATTTGTTGTTAAGTTTCTAAATTTGATAATTTTTTTATCAAAAGTTTAAGAAATTTAAATTATTTAACATAAATCTATAATTGAACACCTCTACGAAATTTTGACTCCAACAAACCATAACAGAGTTCCTCTGTTTAGTTGCCTAGAAACTTGACAGAAGAACAGCAGAATGCCTTTTTCTTCCCTGAAGTGTTACATTTTCTTAGTAAACAAACAGAAAATGTGAAAAGCTAGCTACAAAGAAGGAAGTGCGGATCATACTTGTCTATGCGTTCCTTGAGTTTTATCAAGAACCGCTCATTATCCTCTTCTGCGACTTTCACCAACCTCTCCACCAAAGTCTTCCTTTCTTGCGACCCGAGGTTATCAACCTCAATTTCAGCGGCGCCACCATTGGAGGTGGTCAGTATTCCTTTCCTCAACCTAGCAAAGGTGGGCAGTTTCTCCAGAACTGCCCACTTAAGAGCTTCCTCATCGTCTTCATTTCGTGAAGAGCTCGAGAACGGATCAATGGGGCTGTTCCTCCATGTGGTGTAACTTCCTGCTCGTAAACTACTACTTGCTTTATAAAGATCAGCACTCTCCATCACGGCACCAAACTCTTAGAAGATTTATACTAGTGGAAAAGAAAACAAAGGAAACAGGAACCGAAAATGTAGAGGGCAAAAGAAGCATGATTGAAGAAGAGAAATGAAAGCTATTTATAGAATCAGAGACAAAGCTTCTATTTGGCAGGATCTGTTTAAGTTATGAGTATCAGACAACAAAAAGAATAGCCTTTTGTTGAGATTGCAAGAATCCAGAAGATCAGAAACCTATAAGGAAAGAAACCTTTAGCATCAATCTATGATTTTAATTAGCCAACAATTATATTTTTTCCTTAATCTATATATTAGATTAGGGCAACCAATTGAGCTTGTATACAAGCATAGAGTTGTAACCATGTATTCTCATGAAAATATAGAAAATTTCCCATCATTTTTGAGTTGATATCAGAGCATTTGATCCTTTGAATTCTTTGAACCCCTCAGTCTTGTTGGTGTGGTTGCTGGTATTTTGCAGAAAAAAGAACAAGAAGAAATGGAGATGAAGACTAGCTTGCTCAGTTTTTGGTTTTTCCTCACTGGCATTTCATTCATAACTGATTGTGCATTCATAACTGATTGTACATATCAGATTACAAAATCATGCATATCAGATTACAAAATCATGCAATCTAGTGGCAACAGTAGTACATTAAGTGGTGTTTGTTCTAACAACTCCACCAAATCCATCAAAACACCTTCCATATACAAAATATCTAGAGACATGGTTCCTTGATTAAAGGAACTATACTAACAAAAAAAGACAACCAAGCACTGATTTGGAGTTACACTATAAATGCCATTTTACGTTTGAGCCCTAACAAGTCTAAACCTTAAAAATGTCTGAGATAGATTTGTCTGAGACAAAGTTGTTTGAGACTCCATCTATCCCTGTTATTGTTAAAATCAAAAGGAGTTTTCAATGCTGGAATCATCCTTTCAGAATCAAACTATGAGATCTGGTCTTAGCTTGTTGAGCGAGGGAACCTTTGTTGTATTTATGGCAAGACAAAGCCGTCAGCTGAATCTTAGGATAGATACGAAAAGTGGTATGCAGAAAACCAGAAGGTAAAGAGATGGTTGCTGATGTCTATGAAGTAGTATATATGAATACCCATGGCTTGTGAGATATGAAGTGCCCTGTCAAAGGCATTTTAAGAGGGAAGTGATGAGTTGAAGGTTTCCATTGTATATGTGGATGATGTGGATGACGTGATAGTGACAGGAAATGACCCTGATGAAAGGAAAGCTCTACAAGATTTCTTATCAAGAGTTTGAAATAAAAGATCTAGGTCCTTGAAGTATTTTCTTGGGATTGAGGTTTCCAAGTTAGCAGGAGGAATCTTCCTATCTCAAAGAAAATATACATTAGATCTTTTGCAGGAAACTGGCATGTCAGGGTGCTAACCAGCTGATGCACCAATGGAAGAAGGTTTGAAATTATGTATTGAGCCAAATCAGGTTCCTGTTCATAAAGGAAGATTTCAAATATTAGTGGGAAGGTTGATGTACTTAGCTCACATAAGACAAAACCTCGCTTATGCATTGAGTGCTTTCAGCCAATATATGCATGATCCTAGCGAACAACATGTGAATGTTGTCAAGCGCATCCTGAGGTATCTTAAATCTGCACCAGGTAAAGGAATCCTATTCACAAAGAATATTGATTGTCACAACATAACCACTTAAACTAATGCTGACTGGGCTGGACCAATATATGATAGAAGATCTACTTCAGGTTACTTCACTTTTGTGAGTGGAAACTTGGTCACATGGAGGAGTAAAAAACAAAAAGTTGTTGCGTGATCAAGTGTGGAAGCTGAGTTTAGAGGTATGTTACATGGACTTTGTAAAGCATTGTGGCTAAGACGTCTCTTATGTGATTTAGGTTACCCTTCTAATCAACCAATTTGACTATATTGTGACAATAAAGTTGCATATAATGTTGCTCACAATCCAGTTCAACATGATCGTACTAAACATGTTGAGGTGGACAAAATTTTCATTAAAGAAAGGTTTGGATGGAAAAATTTTAGAGTTGGCCAAGATTTGATCAGAAGACTAATTAGGTGATGTTCTTGCCAAAGCTGTTAACAAATAAGTCTTCCCAAAATGTTCTAGAAAAGTTGGGTATCCAAGATATTTATGTACCAACTTGAGGGGGAGTGTTGAGATTGCAAGAATCTGTAAGATTGGAAACGTATAAGGAAAGAATCCTTTGGCATCAATCTAGGATTGTAATTAGTCACTAACAATGTTTTTCCTTAAATAGATTAGGGCAACACATTGAACTTGTATATAAGCATAGAGTTGGAACTTGGAACCTTGTATTCTTGTGGAAATATAGAAAATTACCCATCTTTCTCATTTGATATTCCTTTGGACTCAGAGCCGGATAACTTCTCAGCATTAGCCTTTTGCTCTGCCACTTTCTTATTGGCCCTAGCTTTTGCCTTTGCTGATGTTGACAGAACAGCAGTTGGAAGTTTCACAGCAGATGTGGTGGTGGGTACTGTAGTGGGTTGTGGATACTCAGAGCGAGGTAGTGGGTTTTGGATGCTCCAATCCGAGAATCATTGGCTTCGTTAATTTGGACCATAACCATTGCTATAAGGGCACCTTGACGAACAATATCAACAACATCTGATGTCAAGCAATGATATGGCCTCACTCAGGCCAGTGCCAGCACAGGAAATGGCAACTGCAAGAGCCGCACCATAGCGAACGTGTGGGCTATAAGACTTAGAGAGCAACGAGTGAACGAGGCAATTCGAGGCATCTGCAATCACGTATAATGCAGTGAGACAAACATCAAAAGGTAGAAATTGGAGGAAGAGAAGGTTGGAAATGAAGGATGTTGCAATATAAAATAAGATCAAAGACAAAGAGTCAAATTTGCACACACCTGCTCTGGTTCTGAGTAAAACACAAACCCAAGAGCTAGAAGAGCTGTTCTCGTCCTAACATCAGTGACATCATCGCTGATATCTGATACAGCAAAATGCAGCAGCTGACAAATAGCCTTGTTGTTTGCGTTTCCACTACGAAATTTTAAATCATTTAATATAAATGCACAATTCAACACCTCTACGAAATTATGACATAACTCTAACAAACCAAAACAGGGCTCCTCTGTTTAGTTGCCTAGAAACTTGACAGAAGAACAACTGAATGCCTTTTTCTTCCCTGAAGTGTTACATTTTCTCAGTAAACAAACAGAAAATGTGAAAAGCCCGCTACAAAGAAGGAAGTGCGGATCATACTTGTCTATGCGTTCCTTGAGTTTCATCAAGAACCGCTCATTATCCTATTCAGCGACTTTCACCAACCTCTCCACCAAGGCCTTCCTTTCTTGCTACCCGAGGTTAACAACCTCAATTTCAGCGGCACCGTCATCGGAGGTGGTCAGTATTCCTTTCCTTAACTCAGCAAAGGTGGGCAGTTTCTCCAGGACTGCCCACTTAATAGTTTCTTCATTGTCTCCATTTCGTGAAGACCTCGAGAACAAATCAATGGTGCTGTTCCTCCATGCGGTGGAACTTCCTGGTCGTAAACTACTACTTGCTCTATAATGATCACCACTCTCCATCGTAGCACCAGACTCAGAGAAAATTTATACTAGTAGAAAAGAAAACGAAAGGAAACAGGAACTGAAAATGCAGAGGGCAAAGGAAGCATGGTTGAAAAAGAGAAATGAAAGCTATTTATAGAATCAGAGACAGAGCTTCTATTTGGCGGGATCTAAGTTAAGAGTGTCTAGTAGAAAAATACTAACAATTAGATGAAAAGGCTTTTTCTTAATATCAAGAACTTTTTTTAAATTTAATTGTTAGTATTTTGTAATTTATATTGTAAATTTTTTTTTTTTTTTGTTGTTAAGTTATAAAATGTCTTTTTTATATATAGAATATCATATTTAATAACATTATGTTTAATTGTAATCAAATGATAAATGAGTCATATAACACAATAGCAACCTTCCAATCTATAGAATAGAGCACAGAATACTAAAATAGGGTAATGAAATCCCGATGCAATGAAACCTTCTATTTCAGTGAAAATAAAAAGTCTATAATGCACAGTCGCCATTAGTTTAAAGACATTAAACTTTTCAGCTTTGTCTCAATGTCATCACATGGAGTACCTTATTTGCTATGAAGAATAAAAATTTGCAAAAGAGTAATGATAGGGAAG